ACGTCTTCACACTTTACAGCCTAGAATCATGGAAATTTGTTCAGAAATCGAATCAAACATAGACTTAGGATTAGGCTTAAGCTCAGCTTCAGGAGTAAACCTAGCTCTAGCTACTGCATAAAATCATGTTCAAACAGATGTTCGAAAGTCGAGTGATATGTGATTAAGGGATATGTGATCGAAAACATTGATCAAGTTTGTTTTTGTGGTAAGATCAACATTAAAAGCCTCTGATCAAAACTTTTCTTCTCCACCATTTCAATTTGAGGAAACAATTTAAGTAATTACGATCGATCAACTTCTCTGTTTTGGATAGACATGACTCAGTTCATACGAAATCCAATATCAGAACCAATTCAGGCGATAACCGAAGCACGAGCCGCACTTGAAGCAGCGCACAGCTCGATGGATTTAATCGGTTCGAAAACCAACGAGATACCCAGAACAATTGCCAAAGTTCTCTCACTCCTCGAACAGGTTCTTCCCCAACCATTTCATTTTCATATATCACCATTCTAATGTCCATAAATTCTTCAAAAATCTTTCATTCATAATTCCAAATGTTGACTGAGCCTTGAGAAGATACACGAGAAAATTTTACTTCCAAAAAAGTGCTGAATAAGGTCAATATATCTATTGAACTTATTAAATCAGCAACTAATATTCACTCAGACTTCAATGATTCGCTTATACTTCGAACTCAAATAAAGACTTATCGAATTCGTTCAGCTGAGTGTTCAATGTGAACCAGATAAAATTCGTGATGAAACTAAACGACTACATGCGACGATTGATGATTGTGCTCAGGAGGCATTCATTCTCGAGGATCGTTTCCAAATGGCTATTAAACTTACCGATAGTACCAGTGCAAAACTGGGTCGTTCAGGTACAAACTCGTATATTCCCACCTCATCATATTTGTGCACACCAAACTTCTTACCAACGTGTTTAAGCCCGTTTATGATAACTTGAAATGTTCAACGTTCGAAAGTAAGACGGTATCACGTCAAGGTCACAACACTCATCACGCTGATTGTCAGATCAAGCAGTAATCGCTCTATAAGATGGATCATTGTGCCATATTGATATCATGTACATGCTCTAAACTAGTTGTTAACTCACTCCGTTTCTCGGCTAGTAACGAACGTTCGAATTCAGGTTTCATGTTGCTTGGAGACGTTAAACATTTCTGGGAGAGGACAGTGTCATTTTGTGGTGAGATCAGTAAGCTGATCGAGTATACGCTTGATTCATCGTGCAATGCGTTCATTGCGATCATTCTCGAACAACTCGACAAGATCTCCACCAAATCCAAGTTCCGACTAAAAGATCGCACAAGGCACGAGGTGAGGCGAAAATTTCCTGATGTCGTGGCCCTTAGAATCCGAACCTTTGCCCGACATTCTACTGCGGCAATCAAATTTGCAAAATCTATTGATAAAATGTGTCCTCATAACCGGCAGGCACACTGCTGCGTCGATCGCTCTGTCTTATCAGTATTTGATATGATAACGTTCTTCAGTTTTCGCTCATTTCATTTACTATCGAATGATACTATCAAAATGTAACTATGTTATACATCTGCAGCGCATACAATTCAGACAATATATGTTATCATTAGATAGTGTTATCATCATCGTCATATTTGAGCAGTATTATTTCGTTTACAGATCTATCAAATCTCATTGGCATGTGTCGCATACGCATTATCAGTAAGACATCTGACGAACGCTTATTCGGCGTTCTCAAATGAATTTCTTCTGCCCCAAGTGAACGTCATCTCGAGATATCCACTTCTGGGCAACAGTGAGATTGAACTGGCACATGCACATGATCAATTCAAGGAGGCAAATATGGCTTGCATGAAAGTTCGTACAATTTATTACTTCAGGGAATGTTTGCAGTTTTTTAGAAGAAGACGTGACTTGCTACCGAAGATCGTTTCTTTACATTGAAATTGCTCGAGTATTATTGATGCGGAGATTCGGAACAATTCAGGAGATCGATCGAGTTGTGAAACAAAACCGTGCCACATCGAAACGACGTTCTATTCTTGAGCTGGATTTGGGTCTTGATCTTCACCTCAGTGATATTTCGCTTGATTTGGATGAATTTCTAACGCCAATTGCTGAATTCAAATCGCATTCGCACTCAAAACAAACGGATAGTTTCATTGAAGTTAGTTGAGCGAGTTTTGTCAACATTGATTTCGTGCCCGCTTCACATCGCTTGTTACTTGAAGTCGTTTTATTTTTTTTGTTTCGAACGGATTTCTCAGTTTAGAAACTTCATAAACGATGAATGTATACAAATTCTAAATATTTCCAGAATAAATCGAGCAGTGTTTTCGAGAAATTCCGAGCGAATTTCACCAAGAAAGCGTCTCTATGAGACGTACAGTTCAATCTCTTCAATTCGTTTTCATCAATTGTTTTGTTTGTTTTGTTCAACGCATTTTGNTTTTTATCATGTGAAAATAAGCAAATGATGAAATAGTGTATAGGGAATGAATAACATCCTGCCATGCTTAGTTATATCGGATGCAACGCAGATATTGCTCTCTGTTATCAAATACTTCCATACACCTGCTATGCAAATAAACTGAATTTTGTACACTCTAATCATGGTGTACTTACGGTACACTGCGTTCACATGTATTTCATCCAACATAACGGCAGTCGTAAGAAAGTCGTTATTTGTGCAGTGCGTTTCATCTTATTGAAATACGTAAATGTTTCATTGAAAATAACTGACACTAGAAGAAATTGTCAATAGTACATAAAATATTTAAGGCAAGTTAAATTCATTATGACTATCAATATGTTAAATATCACAATTGTATTTTTTCAAGGATTCGCAGGCACTTTCATGCGAACCTTTCACTCGAAAATGATCATCATCAGTATGAATCGACTCAGTGGGTTACATACTCGTAGTTGAATGTGTTTGTTTGTTTATAAATATAATAATTGATGTTTGACTATGATTATATTTATAAGGAAATTAGCTTTGATTCGATAACAAGTATACACAACAATCAAAAGGGTCTATAAACCAATTCAATACTGTTCGTCGCATCATCGCATCGGAATATTTGTTTACCGTTTTCGTCCAACCATTCACAGTGCTTTATCTCATGCAATAATTCATAACCAAGTTTGCGAAATAACTGAAAACTTCCAGTTACACTGACCAAAAACACGAACATAACACAAGTCGTGAAGGAGTGCTCGTCTTAAAATGTCATCTCTGCCTTAAAAAACCGACAATATAATAGATTTCGGTGGAATAAACCTGTTGAGAATTGAACGCAGACGCTTCGGTAATGCAACCTTGACAACCCATCAATTCGGCTTCATCCAAACGATACTCCAATAATTTGCGAGCTAATCCACGACGAGTGAAATGCGAATCGACTGAGATCACCACCCAACAAAGAAGTCGCTTAATACGAGGATTCACAAGGATCCATATCTGCAAACCATCGCAAAACGAATTAACGATCAAATTATTCGCATTTTATGTGCACATTCACTGTACTAATCGTTTTATCCATTTACCCAATGTGTTATCAGATTCTTAACCGAAACTTGAGATATGCAGGTAGAGGAGATCTTCTCAGTTTTAGTCCTGTAACACGAGAGCACATTTCAGACATATAGGGAATCAGAGAGGCAGACTTGAATTTAGGAGGATCAAATCGCTCCTCAACATTTTGTGACTAGCTTCAGGTCTGAAGATAATAGTATTTCCGATGGATTGAATACCTTATCTTCGAGTTCCGATAGAATTCTCGTAATTTTGGCCGCATTCGCATTCTGTGAATGAATATTATTTGTCACATTATTATTGTTAACGTTGTTATTGTTGTTATTTACCACTTCATTAGCGTCCTGAAAATTACTCCTTTTAACAATGCAACCATGTGGGAATAATTCCATTGCGCAGTTGCATGCGAAATTTCACAACAAAACAAATTTCAAACATCAGACATCATTTGATAATTTTTGGTTTGTTCATTAAAAAATTTATTGTTGAGACTGTGGGTGAATACATGAAACATGAAGTAAACATCTTGGAGGCGTGTAAACGACGAAGATTACGTGAGAGGAACTTATCAAATCATCAGCAATATCAAACTGATTATGAGATTCAATTTTAAGGGATCCAAAAAACCGACAGAATAGAATTATTTAGCTAAATACAAATGGCACGAAATGACTTCGTGGATTTGAAATTACTCAAATTCACTCGAAATAATTCCTCGGCGATGAAANNNTTATTGATTGTTTTGAATTGATCCAAACGTAATTGAAAGATACTCGAAATATTTCTGAAATATAATATGACCACAAAATAATTTACAATTCCATTGACCGGATTGTCTTTCTCGGGCCTATCCAATATGGACGCTAATCTTAGAGCGATAATCTTCCCTGTTCGCGTTCTCAGCAAATACGACAGTGACGATGTAATGCCGGTCTTTGTCAACTCTGAAAACTACAAAATTTATTCGCTTGCTTATGCCATTATTATTCTGTTTTCGCACATATTTCCAGAATCTTTTCGAATTGTTATTTGAATTATTATTTGCCTTGTGAGAAGACTTTTTGAGAAAATTATATCTGTCAAAATAAACGTTTCCTTTCTGAAATTATGGCTGGAACCACTCTTATTCGATTTCCGCCAGCTCAATTCGAGATCAGAGATAATATGGTACGCCATAAATCATATCAAAAATGGGAACATTTTTTGGAGATGTCTATCGTTGGATATATCTTTTGGAGACGTCTTATTGTTACCACGTCATCCAATACATCCAACTACATTTTTCTTACAATTAGTTGATTTCAGTAAGAAAAATTATAATGGTGGTTGTTTCCATTCTTTGAGAATAAACGTATTCAATTTGATAATGAATGAAAATTGCGATTTTCTGTTGTTGACGTTTTTGTGTGAGATAAGAAATACTACGATAATGTGCAACGTGTCAACGTTATGCCGTCCCCTAAAACGAGTCATTCGAAAATGTGCTCCTGCAGATAGCACAATGCCAACGCGTAATATTTATCACTGTTTTGTCATGTAAACTTTGTCAACAACATAATATCTTTGTTTTTTTGAAATCAGCATGTGCCTTTTGAATGAGGAATGTTTCTAGCAATTACTGCTGCAAACTGTCATATGGTTTCATCCAAAATACTCTTCTCACTGGCAGTGAGAGCATTCAACGAAATACAATACGCTGACAATAGATATACCTCTAAATAGATTGATCGCATCAGATTGTGTCAGGTTAATTGACCTATTCAGTGGTTCAGTGAACAAGAAATCGCTCATTAGAAATTGCACAATATCATCGAAATCGGCTTCTGTGGCTCGATGCAATGTCAAATCACCGAAGTCGTTCGTATCCCCATTACAGTACATTGCCTGAAATAGCATCAATCTATCGACGTTGGAGTATTCCGTTGACTTGAGCAAATCAACTTTTCAGCTGTTCATCTCTTATTGCACAAACAAACGCAAATTTTTCATCAACGAACTGGATAATGTTAGACATAACATTATCCATTTATCTTGTAATGTTGGCGCTAAAATCGGCTCACACACTAGACAGAGCGAACAAACTATTCACATGATTCGCACGATTCAAAGCAAAAAAAAAACTGGAGAAGACTGTGTACACCACCAAAAAAAGAGACTTGAGCTCGTTAAGGAGGTAAAGCAATTGAGAAGCCTGCTGTTCAATATAACGAGCTGCTTGAATAACATCGAGAGAGTAAAGTATTGAGCCTTTTGCTAAACTTGATTGATCTCATGATCAGTAATCAAGATCAATTGTATGCAAACTGAATCATCAAATGTAATCATTGAACAGAGCCGACACAGTTCCTTGATATCAGTCCAGTCAGTCAAGAATCCTTGTTCGAAAAGTCAACCAGTTCGTTATCCGATTATCATACTATCTTGCATCAGGCGAGTGGAAATATAATATGTTCAGTTATTATTAAGCATAAAATGCGAAAATACTCACAACCAAAAAGCACTGATTTGCTACACCAAAAGATTTATTCTATAAGAGGCTACTAAAACAAAAGCTCTTGAAAATGGGATTTATGCGGTTGAAAGCAATGATAATGAATGTTTTTGATTATCGCTAGAAACTCATAAATGCGCGTTCATACACCCC